TGTGACCTTTGTGTCATTCTAAATGATGCTGCATCTTCAGCTAAATCAATGATGTTGAGCGGTTTCCCAAATGAAAATGGTTTAGTACTACTAGCTACCCTTCTGATTAATTCCTGATAATTCCTCTTTTCATCTAAGTTAAATACTTCGGAAAGAGTTGTTCTAGCATTTCCAGTAACATTTGATAATCTACTTTTACTTTGAGAGAGATTAGTCTTTTGTCCCTGCAACCATTTTGGCACCGATGAAGGAACCCTTTTATATGTTTTTGTAATACCTGCAGGGGCCTTAAATTTGCTATAGGTTCTTGGTGAGACATTGCTCTCTCTGTCTTTAATCTTTTGAAGCCTGTAATACTGAATATCATCCACTTCATCTCTAGACTCTGTTTTGTTGGTATTTTTGGTATAGAAAAATTTGTATGGTTTAATTGGTGGAGGTGTTGATACTTTTTTGACAAATATAACATCGTCATTTTGTTCATTATCATTTTCATCATCATCATCATCCAAATTAATATATACCTTTTTAGGATTTTCATGCTTAGTTTCAATCCAAGAAACCTAAAATAGAAAAATTCATAAATGTTCAAAATAATATAACCAAGAATTTTGCAAAGGTTAATGTTTGCAAGTTTGAATGATAACATTACTTTGGTCAATCCATTCTAGATTTAAGTAAGAAGCAATGCAACTAATAATTTATATCATTTCATTATGCTGGGGATAGGAGAACCAGAGTAACTGATATAGCCCAACTAAGCTAAAGTGGCAATGGGCTGGCTATATAGCTCAAAAGACCATAAACTGATAGGAAAAAAGGTTCTTGAGTGGCAGCCTTGCACCAGTAGGCGAAGTGTAGGGCAACCCCCACTAGGTGGAGTGACAACGTGGTAAGACATGCAGGAAGTCGATGGATACAGGTGGCTCAGGATCATACTTTGTGGCATTCCTTAGCCTATGTTCAGCAGTGGACTTGTGAAGGGCTGTAATGATAATGATGATTTTATTATATCTCAAATGATTCCAAACTGAGATAAAAACAACAGGGTTAACAATAATCTGAGGTTATACAATAACTGTATATAATATGTTATCAGTACAGAATAAATGAATACCTGTTCATCATCATCGTTATCTAATACTGCATGTATCACCGGCCTTACAGAGGTTTTTCCTCTAGTATTTCTAGGAGTAGTCGGACCATTTTCAGTGACACCAACAAGTTTTATTGGCACTGTTCTAACTCTGCTTGTTACTCGTGTTGGAACTTCATTAGGTGTTGATGTACTGGGGTGAGCAGATTCTATTTGTATAGGAACATAACGAACATTCTTATGTTGCTTTTTATCCTTCTCCCAGACATCTGGAATAAATTTAGATATTGTAGGTTATTTAAACAAACGTAAATAATTTAGGGAAAAATATTACCGTTTGATGCCATACGTTCGGGAAAATTGGTTTTATTTAATTGCTTTAATCTTTTCAACGCCGGTATTTCATCGTCGGACGAAAAATCGTCATCAGTCCTGCAATAAATCAAAATGTATAGTTCTATAGGAGATGACCGACTTATACAAAATATAGAATTACCGACTTCCAAAATTTTGAAGCAAGATTTAACGGTACTTTGTACATGCTTGAATACTTTCAAATAAGTATTTAGAGAAATATCAAAAGCTTTACCGCCATAACGAAAATGCAATGTTGTAAACAAGAAATGTCAAACCCATACCTGTCTCGCTTGAAGCTAGTTCTATTGGTTTCGTCGTCGCACCAACCAATAAGATTGCGAACATAAGCCACAATGGACATCATTTTGAACAAATTATTATGCCATCACAATTAAACTGTTTTAATTAAGTCCGTTTTAACAGAAAAACTCGAAAACAGAAAAAAGCCGAATCGAAATAGACAGCGACAGCAGTACAGTAGCAGAGACCACCGATCACCGATCAGTGCTGCCATCTAGGCAGGTCGATCTGAGATCGATTAATCGAAGAACCGATTTCTTGTGCCAAAAAGATCGATTTTTCAATTGATATATAGTACTGAATCGATCCAATAAATCGATATTTCACCCTAGACGATCGAAATCAAATCTTTTCTAATTTTATAAGGACTTAATATTATTTACAATTAGTTGAATGTTCCCAAACTCGTAAGTAACGATAGTTTTTCTATTCAAAAACTAGCAAAACTGCTGTGTGCTCAGTTTCTTTCACCTCTTTTTAATGGTTTAAAGAAATAAAAATAAGTTACGTTTGTGTATTTGTATTTGTACTTTCTACGTATCTGAGCAAATGAAATCTGGGAATCGATTCTTCAGATTTCGATTCGAAGCTATTTAATATAGATCTTTTTCGGAAATAATCGACATCCCTAATGCCATCATAAAAATCTGAGTTGCCGTATGTCACCGTCAGGTTTGCCGTATTTTAAGGATAAAATTACTAAAGTGTCGTATTTTTAATTTTTAATTTTAAAATTGTCTATTCCTCATTTGTTTCTTCTCTATAATGGATTCTTATCGTTTTTGTCACTTCAGATTCATGTGTAGTGGCGCTGACGTCGCGCCACAAGCGAAATGCACCGAAGCTTAAATCACGCTATCAACATTCCGAATCATAAACAGTATATATAGAACATTTCCGCTCATTACCATTTACGATTACAGTCTATCAAAAGTCCACTACAGAATAGTGAACATAAATTCCAAAAAAAAAATTGCGGTTGCCAAACTACTTGCTAAGCGTGGCCACTATGGCAAGAATGACACAATCTTTGGCGAAGCCTATTGCCCCTATTACACCACCCTGAATCAGGGCCCTAAATGAATGGTGGGCGTGGCCCCTGGTTAGAGACGTCAGTTATTACACTACCCTGATTTTACGTCCTTACTCAGTCATAGGGATGGGATGACAAGACAAGACAAGATGACAAAAAAGTATATATATTTATTGAATCGATATTTTTAAAGTAATTGTAACAAATTATTTACTGTGTTTCGTCCTGTTAACTCTAGTTGCGTAACTCGAGTTTAGTTCGAGTTGTGTGAACTCGAGTTAACTCGAGTCGTAGGTTTTCCAAGTAAGCACATCTATAGGATGCAACATCGCTCATTAAAAACATCGAAGCTTATGTACGATATCTCGATTTTTTCGATGTTTTTTATATAACACATGGAATAAATAATCATTTTGAACAGAAATGAAAGAAAGAAGTATAATAATCAAAGAATATATTTTACTATTTTTTATTTTTACACATTTATTAATTTATTAATATATTTTCTTTCAAATTGAATTTTAAAATAACAATTTTGAAAACCTGGCGCCTAGTAAGCGGTTTCTCCCGGGTGATTGTAGATCCAGCCTCTGAAAATAACCGCTCACGGGATACCGAAGTTACCACTATAGGCAAATAGATCTCATTGAGGCTATGAAGCCCGGGAAATAACCCTTTCATGATCCCACAAGTAATATATGAAGTACGTCTTCGGCTTTAGTTTTATTTCTTACTAGCTTCTGCCCGCGACTTCATAGGCGGATCCTGTTGCTTATGCCAGCGACAACGGGGTCGTCAAAATTGAAGATCTGAAACGTCTGATGTTGAATTCTAAGAGCCCGGGACGGGAAAATAACGTGATTCGCGAGACGATTCGAGACGTTCTAGATCTTTCATTTTTGTAAGTCAACAGGAAATGCCCATCAGACTAAACAACTTTTGCTAAGACGTCATTCCTATATATGTTATAGTGTCGCTGGGCTTTGGATGTAGTGTAACTCCTTGTGTGTTATTAAGTTAATATATTGGTAATATTGTTTACATTACGTTCACATGAGGCTTAAGTACTTATAGAACAAAAATACTTCAGCGCAAAACTTCCGGGTAAAATATGTTGAAAGTTGACCCGTCCGGCACGGGAACATAAAGATTTCTAGAACTGCTAACCCGAGAAAGAGCGATGTACAACTGACCATGCGAGAAACAACTGACATCGAGATCTACTCCAGCAACACGAAAAGTCTGCCCTTGAACCTTATTAATTGTCATTGCATAACACACTGATACTAGAAATTGCGTTCTTTTAAATTGGAATGGAAAATTATTTGGTATTATGGGATTTCTGGGAATAAAGACGGTTTCTCCTGCACCGCAACCTGTTTTGTAAAATTTGAGCCTCGATTATATTTTATTGCAACTGGGTTACTTTTAGCCGAGTTCCAATGCAAAGTTGTGGTGGTCTTAAATTTCGGAGCAGAATAATCGGAATGCCAATTTTTAAACAAATTTCATGAGAAGGAAGTCGGGGTATATTTAAAGAATTTAAAAATTCTATCGGGTAATTAGTGGCTTCTTGTTCATCGACCATTCTATTTACTGAACTATAAACTTTGCTTTCCGCCTGTGTATTCGACAGTATTTTGTTATTAATCTCAGATGTCTGGTCATTGCGAGGAGTTAAAATGGATCTTTCGCATAGCCAAGAATTGTCCCTATTTAATATAATTGTTACGTCTCCGTAAACCGACGATATAAGATGTAGTTGGGATTGCACTATACAACATAACTCAGGCGTCAGAATAATTTTTCCTTGGTGTAGTTGTGGATGGGTACCTTCACCAATCTTTAATAATTTATCAGAAAATTGACGATCATCCGGGTTATCTCCAGTTCTCACTCGCATGTTTATAGTCAAATGTACCGATTGTATATAACGCCACAAATAAGAGCTTTTTAGGCAAGCCCTAACCTCATCAGCTCGGGTTCCCCGTGGTATGACCGGTAAGGTTTGTCGGAAATCACCACAAAATAAAACCGTGATACCGCCCATTGGCCGATCATTTTGTCTTATATCCCTTAAAGTTCTGTCTACCGCTTCTACTCCTTTTCGGTGGGCCATTGTACATTCATCCCATATGATTAAATTACACTCACGTAATACCTTAGCTTTGTCGCTATTTCTTGAAATACTACAGGTTGGACTTTCCGTGCGATCTAAATGAGACGTAATTCCCTCTCAGTGTAGGTTTCGGACTCACGGAATAGTACATGCCGTTCGCGATCAGCTGTGAGACGTAATTCCCTCTCAGTGAAGGTTTCGAACTCACGGAATAGTACATGCCGTTCGGACTCGCGAGATAATGTATGCCGTTCGCGGTCAGTTGTGAGACGTAATTCCCTCTCAGTGTAGGTTTCGGACTCGCGATATAATGTATGCCGTTCGCGGTCAGCTGTGAGCCGCAGTTCTCGGTCAATGGTAAGCCTTAGCTCTCGTTGAGAAGAACTTTGAGACGCCCGTGGTGTAGCACGTCTCGCTCTGTCAGCTGCTAATCGCATCTCTCTTTCTGGAGAGCTTTCATTGGCTCGAGAAGTTGAGGCACTAACTCTCATAGAGTTTAACCGATGTGCTCTTTCCTCTGCCGATTCTTGAGAACGCACATTTCTCATTCACTTAGCTTCTCTCGAATTTCGAGATAAAGATAATCGTTTTTTAGGTGGCATTGTGTATTTTATTTTTAATCGACGTCATTCAGTTACCTAACAAAATAATCTACGTTAGAGGTCCTAACTATAGCTGCCATACACTTAAAAAAATCTAAATGCCTACTTAAATAATAAAACGGATCCTAAATAAATCCTTAAATCTTAAATTCAAAATTAAATTCTTAAAAATATATAAGTGGGTACCTAAACTACGTGTAATAGAATGAAATTGTTGCATATTATAAAATGTAGTGGGTAGTTTTAGCCGGTAAGCGCGCATTGTATTTCCGTCGTTAGTTCAAATAAATGCCTGTACTCGACGCACGCCTTTTATTTATCAGTGGCGACGAGGATAAAACTTGGTTCAGTGTGGAATAATTTTGTTTGATCGTGTCGTAGACATTAGTCGCAACAATGTCTGTAGGCAAAATCAAGGACTTTGATGTGAAAACCGGCAACTGGTCAGCATATGTGGATCGGTTAGAAATGTATTTTGTGGTTAACAAAATAACGGACGATTTAAAGTTACCAACTTTAATCGCGCTCATCGGTGAAGAAACATACGAATTGTTGTCTACGTTGGCGAGTCCTAAGAAGCCGTCAAGCCTATCGTATGCGGTCGCGGTGGATCTACTGCGTGCACATCTGCAACCGACACCATCAATCCTGGCAGAACGGTACAGATTTCGTCAAAGACGGCAAGTAGCAGGCGAATCGATAGCGAACTACGTGGCGGACTTGAAAAAGATGGCTAGATATTGCGAGTTTAAAACTAACTTAGAGGAAAACCTACGAGATCAGTTTGTGTGCGGTCTTTTTTTTTTTAACATGGGGAAATGCCTACGCATACCCGCCTCGCGGGGGCAAGGACGGGTTATGTCGGACTCGCACCGACTAAAACCCCATGGTGTTCCACCTTCGTCGCATATTGGCAGGGCTACGGGAACGCTTTCGCACACTTCCGCGGCCCTACCAGCGACTGCTGCCCCACGGCAGCACCTCCTCGGGAGAGGAATATTCCTCCCCGTTCTACTTCCCAAGTAAGGCGCACCAGAACACATGGCACGCCTTCCTCCACGGCCTCCAATTACATCTGCGCAACAGACGCCCCCGCGTCCGATGCGCGAAGGCCATGGGGCCAGGAAAAACGAGCACTTAGAAGTACTAGCCTTCCCGACCCCAGCGGCGGATCTGGTCTATGGCTCCGCCGCCAACCAAGATTCGGCTGCGGAGGATAGGGAGAGCGGCGCCTCGCAATACCGACAATCCTCTCCCCCCGCAGCCCCATCACCACCGCATCAACGGTGCGGCCCCGTTTGAGTCGCGGAGGATAGGGCGAGTGGCGCATCGCCATACCAACACTCCTCTTCCTCCGCGACTCCACCTCGGCTGCAGCGGTAGAGGGTGCGGAGTCCCCACTCGCTGCAGTCCACCAGCACACATCCGAAGTGGGCTCCCCACAAGCCCACTCGGAGTGGCCACCTCAGGCCGGCCCTTCACCTCGGGCCAGCCACGTGGGTTCCTCTTTGTTCACCGTGGGAGACCAAGCCACGGCTACTAAGCCCCCCCCGCCACGACAAGGCGGGAACCCGTTCGGGGGGGTTGTGTGCGGTCTGCGAAGTGATTTTATTCGACAGAGGTTATTTGCAGAAAATGGTCTTGATTATAAAAAAGCGCTACAGTTAGCTAATACCCTAGAGGCAGCCGAGCGGGATGCGGGAGCTGTGGAGGGCTCACTGGAACAAGATCCGGACCGGGAACTTAGCGAGAAGATACATAAGTTAGGAAACAGAAATTGTTCAGCGTGCGGTGGCGACGAACATAGCTCACAAAACTGCAGGTATAAAAATTTTGAATGCAGTTACTGTGAGAAAAAAGGGCATTTGCTAAGAGTATGCATGAAGAAGGAATTCGATCGTCGTATGACATCGGATAATTCAAATTCAAACGGTGCGCGAGGAACACGCAGAAGTCGCGCGCTCGGCCACAGCGCGGACGGCGGGAAGCAGTGCCGCGGGGCGGGGCCGGCGGCGGCACGCGGTATGCGGATGCCTGCTCGAGCGAGCGCTAGCGCGGACACCCACGCTGCGGCCGGGGCGGCGCACTGGTTGAGCGGGCCGGAGACGGGTGACGTCTCTGAGGATGATAAGAACGCGTCTGATGATGGCGAGGAACCGATGTATCAGATGTCTTTAGCGAAGTATAGACCGGTGTGTATGAACATAATTATAAATAATAAAAGTCCTCCTTCCCTTCCCTTAAAAATGGAAGTCGATACAGGGTCGGCATTATCTTGTATAAGTTATTCAACATACATTAAATTATTTAAGGAGTTACCTTTAAAAACGTGTAAATTAAAATAAAATTTTACGATGGTTCAGCTATTTATCCGATAGGGTACTTGGAGACAAATGTTGAGTATAATAATAATGTAAAACAGTTAGAATTATATATAATAAATAAGGGTAGCACTAGTTTATTAGGGAGATAGTGGCTGTCTGAATTGCGTATAGAAATACCTAAGCTAAGTAAGTGTACAGAAATACATAATATGGTACCATGTAAAAATAACTCGCTTAATGATATTATCTCCAGACACGAGAATCTATTCGACGGCACATTGGGCAAGTATACTGGTGAAGAGGTCAAGCTGCACGCGCGAAGGAACGCAGCCGATTTATTGCCGCGCGCGACCCGTGCCGTACGCGCTACTCCCGCGGGTGGATGCAGAGTTGGACGCGATGCTGCGCGCAGGCGTCGTCGAGCCGGTGGACCGCTCAGACTGGGCCGCGCAGTTGGTTATAGCGAGGAAAGCGGACGGCGGAATACGGCTGTGCGCGGATTATAAGGTGACACTGAACAAAGCTTTGTTGGTCGATAGGTACCTGGTTCCAAAAGTAGAAGCTTTATTTAGTGGTTTGAGTGGTAATCGTTACTTCATCAAGCTAGATCTTTCACAAGCATATAATCAGTTAATTTTAAATGAAACGTCTAGAAACTACACTGTTATTAATACGCATAGAGGACTGTTCAAATACAATGGTAGAAAGTTCACTTTACGGCGCCTCTACACGTTGGCCAACACAGTGGCGAATGTAGTGGCCAATAGCATTGGCCAACGTGTAGACGGGGTGTTTGGGCTTCATTGGTATGTATTGGAATGATGGCCCGCAAGTTGGCGCGAGATCCGTGTGGTGTCGGTTTTTTACAAAAGATCAAAGGATTGTTGGCAGAGTTTGGTCGCCGCGTCCACACGTTGGCCGCGCGTTTAGTTTGCTACAAGCTCCCAGAGTGATTACACGCATCTGATTTAAATTTTATATTCAAGATTTGTAGGGTGGATGCCCCAATTACCAGCCTTTTAGTGCCAATTTCAACTTTAAACATTCCTAATACTTTAATTAGCGCAATGATTTAATTATTATTGAACATTTGTTTTAATCAATAAGCTATTTATCAAAACAAAATTAACGTTTTTTTACAATCAGATTATTACGAGAACAATTTTAAAATAAAAAAAATGAAGCACGTCGTTTATACGTGGTAGAACCATGCAATTATATTAGAAATATAGTTGCAGCACGAAGGTCGGCTCGACCGGGGAAGGACCACGCTCTCACAGAATATCAGCGTAAAATAGTAGCTTAATGATGCTGTGTTTCGTATAGTGAGTGTAGAGAACCAGAGACCCTTTTTAAAGGAAACGAGGCATTTCATCTTAGTCCTCACGGGTGACAACGCATCTGCATTTTGATTCGTAATCGAGGATAGACGTAGATGTCTATGGCCCACAGCAACCATTTACCATCAGGTGAACTGTGTGCTCGTTTGTCACCCTATCCTATAAAAAAACGTCGACTGCTTATAATTTAATCGTGCAAGATTTCGAATCATCATCATCATTACAGCTGTTCACAAGTCCACTACTGAACATCCACCTCCACAGACTGCCGCAAAGCATGGTCCTGAGCCACTTTGTTCGTCATGAGTTTTTCATTTATGTTCTAAGTTATAATTAGTACCTATTATTAAGTCAGTGTTAATTATATTTATTGCTATTGTTTTTGTCTTTCTCAAAAAATAATTAAATTACCAAATAAATTATAAGGTGTATTTTATATACATCAAATGTCTGATAGAAATGCAAGTACATATTTTGCTAAACTTTAAAATCAAAACCCAATTTTAAAACATAGACTAATCGATTATAACTCCTTTAACTTTAAAATAAGTTAAGTTCTTATTAATGGTATTTATTCCAGTTTATGATGCATGTAAAGAATAAATAAAGCTAATTGTATAACATCGTATATCTATTTACAGCCCCATTAACAAACCACTATTATTTTATAATTCTTTTATAAAAACGTTAACCCCACACTAGGATTTTCTCCCGTATCGCGCAGGCAGTTTACAAACATAAAAGGACACACATCCAGACCCGAAACAATTATTTGTAGGACATACAAATACTTGTTCCGTGCGGGATCAAACCCGCGGCGCACGACGCAGCCACTCATTGCTGAGCCATTGCGCCACGGTGCTTATAAATTCGTCCGCACATTGGCCCGAACCGAAGTAAACTGAACGATCTTCCAACGTGTGGACGCCGTCACCAACTCTCGGCCATTATGTTCGCCACTCCATTCGCCACTGTGTTGGCCAACGTGTAGAGGCGACATTACGTACGGATCATAAACCGTTTCTTTGGACCGCAGGCGGGTATTCCCAACACGGCGGCTAGTCGACTACAACGCTAGGCTATTAAGTTATCCGCTTATGATTTTAATATAGAATACATTCGCACGGACAAAAATACAGCAGATGTTTTGTCTAGGTTGATTAGTGAGCATAAGGAAGGGGTTTCTAAGGAAGAATTAGACACCCCAGAACAAACATATTTACATTTTGCTTCAGAAGCGTTACTATTGGAATCACATAAATTAAAAAAAAGAAACGGCGTCGGATATTATATTAAGCAGAGTAGTGAGATATATTAATGACAGTTGGCCGAACGACGTCGAAATGAGAGAATTAAAACCATATATTAACAGAAAAAATGAGTTGTACATGGAACTAGGTTGTGTAATGTATAGCATAAGGTCGTTATTCCAGACTCTTGTAGGAATAAAGTTATCACGGAGCTTCATGAGGGGCATATGGGGGTAGTAAAAACGAAGGCGCTGGCTCGGAGCTATGTGTGGTGGCCGGACATGGACGAGGCTGTAGAAGCAGCGTGCCGTGCCTGCACCGTGTGCTCAGCGGTTGCTAACGCCCCTCCGCCGCACGCACCGCGCTCATGGCCATGGCCAGACCGCCCATGGACCAGAATACACATAGATTTTTTGGGGCCGATAGCGGGACAAACTTTCCTTATTGTAGTTGATGCTCATTCAATGTGGATAGAGGCAATTAAAATGAATAGCACTACAGCGAAAGCTGTTATAAAGGAGTTGCGAGAAATGTGGGCGAGATTCGGTTTACCGAAACAAGTGGTTAGTGATAACGGACCTCCATTTTTCAGTAACGAGTTCAGACAATTTTTAAGTTCCAATGGAATTGAACAAATTTTTTCAGCCCCATATCACCCGGCTTCGAATGGGGCGTCGGAAAATGCCGTTAAAATGTGTAAACGTAATATTAAAAAAATCAATTAAGTGTAGAACAGACATACACACGTCTTTATGTAGATTCCCATTAGCTTATAGAAATACACCACACTACACAACCGGTGAAAGTCCTGCAAAAATGTGCATAGGGCATAATTTACGATGCGTTTAGATTGTTTGAAACCAGATCAGAAAGAATTAGTAAAAGCTCGGCAGAAGCGAGCAGAAACATCAGCTGAGGGAGCGATTAGACAATTTGCGGCAGGTGAGAAGGTCTGGTTTAGAGACTATCGAGGCGTTGATAAGTGGACGGCAGGGACAATAATAGAGAGGACAGGTAGTACGGATTACAAAGTCAGATCTATCACTGGAACCGAGGAACACAGACATATCGACCAACTAAAGCGAAGAGTGTCAAACGATGTAACCAAAATAGTAAACTTAACACGTAATAATAATAACAATCGTAACAGTCACACAATACGCGAATCACTTGTAAAACGATTCCGCTTTTCGCTAATGTTTCCAGTAAACAACGACAAACAGTCCGACGCGCCAGTTAACAGGCCAAGCGTGGCCGTACCGGAGGGCGCATCGCCAAACCCAACCGACGACACTGACACTGTATTAACAGCAACTTCGCCAACGTCTACCGTGCCCAATGTGCAGGAAATAGATAATCATGGCTCGAACAACAATGTCACTAATGAATCGCGATCCAGACCAGAAACAATTATTTGTAGGATATACAAATACTTGTTCCGTGCGGGATTCAAACCCGCGGCCCCCGGCACAGCTACTCATTGATAAGCCACTGCGCCACGGAGCCGTCGTTCGTCCGCACATTGGCCCGAGCCGAAGTAAACTGAACGACCTTCCAACGTGTGGACGCCGTCACCAACTCTCGGCCAATATATTCGCCACTACATTCGCCACTGTATTGGCCAACGTGTAGAGGCGACATGAGACAAAACACACGAAGCGTAATCACAAATAAAGGCTCTTCATCTCAGTTGAACCAATGACAACAGAGTGAACACACGGTCGATTCTCGAAAATACCGACGTATTTACAGTTTGGTTGCAACAATTGTTGATTTTTTTTTCAAGAATACGACGTCACTGTGACACATTTAGTGATCCGTCGTTGTTCCTGATAAAAGTAAGTATCTTTTTATGTCTCATTTCTATTTACGCCTGTATTCTTGAATAAAAATGGGTGATTGCTTATGATATTGTATTTTACACCGACTTTATGTAACTTGAGTCTATATTCACGAAAAATAAACGGATTTTATTTTGTCGTAAATAAGAAACGTCGTTATTTAAAAAAAAAAATGGGCATGGTTTTGCTTCTTATTACGAAATGCGTCTGTGTTCAAGGAATTTTGGGATAGAAAATTTCTATTCCAAAATTCCTTGAATAATATAATATAATAATATTCCACAACTATCACACAATGCCATCTTGTCCCAAGCTAAGCAGAGCTTGTGTTATGGGTACTAGACAACTGATAAACAAACTTATATATTTCTAAATACATAAATATTATATAAAATACTATATATATATATATATATATATATATATATATATATATATATATATATATATATATATATATATATATAAAAGCAGTTTGCCGTTACATGCAACAAGTTCTGATGAAAATATCGAAAATGATATAAATTATAATAACACATCAGGTAAGCAAAATAAAATATTTGAATTCAACCAGTCGAAAGATTTTTCTTTATTATGTTTATTCCGATGTGTAGTTCGTCCTGTTGCAAATAGTTTACACTCACGCTAGTGGCTGATCGTAACCTCCTGGGTTCGATTCCCGGGAATTACAAAAATGTGAGTGTTTCTGTAACATAATGGCTTGTTCCTCTGGAGGAAACCCGTGAAATAACTGTTGCTTTTGGTACTTATTCTGTTAATAAATAAATGTTTATTGAATTTCAGGTAATAATTCGGAAGAAAATAAATTGATTTTGCGACAAAGATCACCATCCATATTATCGTCCGTATCGTCATCATCATCTTCTAGCCCATCTTCTTTGACTTCTAGCTCATCTTCCTCGTCTTCTAGCTCATCTTTATCCAGCAATAGGGAAACAGAAGAATGTAATAAAGAATTCAATAAAATCATAAATTTAAAAGAAAAAGGACTTCATGGCCATAGCTTAGAAAATAAAACCAAAGAAAATAAGGTAAGTATAGAGTCAGTATATGATAATATGAAAGATGAGACTGCAGTAGAAAGTAATTCACAAATAGAAAGTGAACCAAAAGCTATTGAATTGACCAATATGAATGCTGAAAGTGAAGAAGGAAAGGAAGAAAGAGATTTTACATCGGATGATAGTATCGTAATTCCTAATTATCACATTGAAGATAATGATTTATCGTCAGATTCTGATGAAACTGTAGAAGAGAATGAAGAAGAAAATATTTCACGTGAATCAAACCAAAATATTACACGTAAGAGGAAAATGCAGCCAGAACTTTGGAAATCGAATGTAGCAAAACGTCTACGAAATGCAGGGAAAGAATATGTAGGCAAAAATAATGAAGTTATACGAGAGAGACGATTAGGACCAGGATGTATAGAAAAATGCAAGTTAAAGTGTAACACAAAGTTTGATTATGAGACTCGACGCCATATTTTTGACGCATATTATGAATTACCTGATTTGCAAAGTAAAAGAACTTTTGTAGCATTCAATATGTCCTCTATTGTCCCGTCGTATCAATATAAAAAAGAAACACGTCGAAATAATAACGCATTTTATTTTAAAGACAAAGATGGCGTAAAAATTCAAATTTGTAAGAGTTTTTTTATGTCTACGCTGGATGTATCTGATAGGTTTATTCGAACAGTTACCGAAAAATCAAGAAGTGACGTTTCAGGCATTATAGTGGAGGATCTTCGAGGGAAACATGGCAATCACAGTCGCGTAGATGATAATATTAAAGATAGTTTGAGAAATTTCATTAAGGCGATACCAAAAATAGAAAGCCATTACTGTCGAGCATACGCAGAAAGAATATATTGATGGAAGAAATAAGAATCCGCTATTGCAGAAATTTATAGAGATTATGTCAAACACTGTGAAGAAAAAAGAGAGAAAAGTGCTAATTATATCATGTTTTGGACATCTGTTCTGGAATGTTTCCCACACCACTTCACTGCGAATGAAGGCATTTTGATGCATTATAATTGCATAAAAGTTATAAAAATTTGCATTAATTTAGCGTGCACACAGCTCTAACACTTCGACAATACTAAAATGGCTATTAGTAACGTAGCCGATGCACAGGCGACAAAATACTAATCGTTTTCGAGCGTCGGGGCATTGTATGCGCAGTCAAGTGGTTATACAGTCTTTGGTTTCAAAGCACTTACCTTGTTGCCTCAGTCACTATCGGAATCCTCGGCGTTGACATATCGAGTGACGTGCAGTTTCGTGGTCACACGCGTGCTCAGCAGAGCGGGATAGTATTTCATGCAGGCACACCGTCTGCAACTTTACAAAACGCAGGTTCGGCCGCACATGGAATACTGTACCTATCTCTGGTCGCATATACCATGGGGAGTGCTCTGAGGAATTGTTCGGATTAATCCCAGCCGTCAAATTTCGTGAACGCACTACGCGGCAAACGTCCCGATACCATCCACACCATCTGGATGCTTGGCGATCCACCACTGTACGTTCACAAGGAGTTTTCTTCCGCGTACGACCTCTCAGTTGAATAGTTTACCACCGGGGATTTTTCCGGACCGATACGACCAGGGACCTTCAAGAAAAGAGCTTACTCCTTTTTAAAGGGCCGGCAACGCACCTGCGATTCCCCTGGTGTTGCGGTTGATCATGGGCGGCGGGAGTCACTTAATATCAGGTGAGCCGCATGCTCGTTTGCCCCCTCTTTTATAAAAAAAAAAACAATACGAAAATTTATTATTTTATAAAACTCAACATATTTGATTACCAAACAAATCAAATAATTATTTTATTAATTCTACTTTTTCTTTTTTTTAAAACGTGACCCTCTCCTCCACTCTAGGATTTTCTCCTGTATCGTGGAGGTAGTTTACAAACATAAATTGCACAAGGACAAACATTGAGACACGGAACAATTATTTTTAGACCATACAAATACTTGTTCCGTGTGGGATTCGAACCCGCGGCCCACAGCGCAGCAACTTATCGCTAAGCCACTGGTACATCAAAGTGCACGATGAGCGCAACAAAGTCGCACGTATGGCTACGATGGAGCGGAATAATAAAAAAGTTATTAAGTTTCTTGAGATTCTGCAAACAGAGACTCAAAATGTTAAGAATCGTACATCGCAAAATGATGGTTTGCGACGAATTATCCAGTTTATTATCTTTTAAAACAATTATCAAAAATAAGAAAGACGAATAAAAGCCTAATGTGTTTTTATAGAACCATTTTTAACAAATGTAAAAAGTCTTCAAGGAACAATGCCGTTCAATGGCATTGAAATTTCATGACGTTGAGCGTTCAAGTGTAGCCACTCACTTTATCGCGTTAAATTTAAAGAAATAATTGCTGCCTTTATGGGAATGACGGTTCCCGTTAGTGTAGCACCAGCATCAGCGCGTTCGCTCGATGCTCGACGCAGGGGCGGGGCGATACCATGGTCGCGCGGTGGGCTAAGCGTTAAAAATATGATTTTTTTATTTTGTCTCGTAAATCATTTAATCTACTACTACTCAATCTTCTGTACTTTATTTTATTCTATTAATTTTTCCTCAGTTTATTTATTTGCTTATTATCTTAAAAAGAAATGTAATTTTGTATAGTACTTATATCTCTGTGGTATTAAAATTACTATAATCTACGAAATTTATTACTACTTTACTAACTGTGTGTTTTGGCGGGAACAATACTTAATTAATAGGAAAACAATAATTAATAGGAACTATAATCTAACATTTTCATACATTTATAATTTAATTCGCTTAATAAATATAATATATGAACTAAAATAAAATGACTTACGGTCGTTCGTTTAAGTAAAGCCGATATGTCGATATTTTTTTTTCGATTTATAAGACTCCGATATTGACTTCAGATTAATAGATAACATAACATAACGTAAACACTCACGCCTGTCACCCAGAGGGGTAGGCAGAGACTACAGACTTCCATTTGGCACGATCCTGACACACCTCTCTCGCCTCCGTCACATCCATATGTTATTTTAGATGCCGTACAACCTCACCGATGTTCACGTGCAGATGCGAGTGGAATTGTGCCGTGACATGATTACCAAATTTGAAACAGGGTTGTCTCGGCGTATTTACAACGTTTACGTGTTTTTAAAAAAAGACAAGGCGTACCAAAGTGAAGTGATCGAGAAGCGCAAAGAAGATTTTGATCGCTAGTTTTTAATTTTGACGGGGTATTAGCATCAACGCTGAATGTTAAATTACCAAATGCTAGCCAGTGTTTAGCTTAGCCCATTCAACCCAAGGTCTAAGGTGTTTACTGCTGTGAGCACAAGCTGACCGAATATGGGGGGGGGGGATCAGCGGGCTACTGCTTTACCATAATAACGCTCCCGAACACTCAGCGCTCAATACAAAACGAAAAACTTTCTGGAGAGTACACCAGTTAATCTTTTGGATCACCCTCCTTAGAGCTCTGCGCTTAATGCAAAACGAAAAACTTCCTGGACAGTACACCAGTTAATCTTTTGGATCACCTTCCTTAGAGCTCTGATTTGGAACCGTGAGAATTTTTATTACCTAAAATAAAAATTCTACTTAAAAGGATACAGTTTCATGTTCGAAAAATGCGTTAGTTGCGTGGAACAGGCCGTAAAAGAGGGGTCTGAGATGGACCGGAAAAGGTGGTTCGAAAATTGATTCAAAGTCTTGTCAGCTTTCCTCCAATAAAACCACGATAACTCAGTTAGTTAACTGTTTAATTACTATTTTTATATATAATTATATTATATATATTATATTATATATAATTAATACTGTTTAAATAATTAATTGTACATAACGGTCCACACGGATACCATTCGATACCGGCTCACTTTTTAACTCTAAGAGATGCCGTTGCACAGAACGGTCCACACGGATACCATTCGATACCAGCTCACTCTTTAACTCTAAGAGATGCCGTTGCACAGAACGGTCGACACTGATACCATTCGGTACCAGCTCACTCTTTAACTCTAAGTATGCCATTGCACAGAACGGTCCACAGCGATACCATTCGATACCAGCTTACTCTTTAACTCTAAGAGATGCCGTTGCACAGAACGGACGACGCTGATACCATTCGATACCAGCTCACTCTTTAACTCTAAGAGATGCCGTTGCACAGAACGGTCCACACTGATACCGTTCAGTACCGGCTCACTTTCTCTAACATGAATACCGTTGCACAGAACGGTCCACACTGATACCATTCGGTACCAGCTTAGTCTTTAACTCTAAGGATGCCGTTGCACAGAACGGTCCACACTGATACCATTCGGTACCAGCTCACTCTTTAACTCTAAGAGATACCGTTGCACAGAACGGTCCACACTGATACCATTCGGTACCGGCTCACTCTTTAACTCTAAGAGATACCGTTGCACAGAACGGTACACTGATACCATTCGGTACCGGCTCTCTTTAACTCTAAGAGATACCGTTGCACAGAACGGTCCACACGGACTGTAATGGCTCACTTTCGCATAACCAATGAATGACGTTGCACAGAACGGTCCACACTGATACCATTCGGTACTAGCTTACTCTTTTACTCTAAGAGATGCCGTTGTACATAACGGCCCACACGGATACCATTCGACACCGGCTCACTCTTTAACTATAAGAGATGCCGTTGCACAGAACGGTCTACACTGATACCATTCGGTACCGGCTCACTCTTTAACTCTAATTGATGCCGTTGCACAGAACGGTCCACACTGATACCATTCGATATCGGCTCACTCTTTAACTCTAAGAGATGCCGTTGCACAGAACGGTCCACAAGGATACAGTTCAGTAACGGCTTACTTTCTCATAACCAATGAATGCTGTTGCACAGAACGATCCACACTGATACCATTCGGTACTAGCTTACTCTTTTAACTCTAAGAGATGCCGTTGTACATAACGGCCCACACGGATACCATTCGACACCGGCTCACTCTTTAACTATAAGAGATGCCGTTGCACAGAACGGTCTACACTGATACCATTCGGTACCGGCTCACTCTTTAACTCTAAGTGATGCCGTTGCACAGAACGGTCCACACTGATACCATTCGATATCGGCTCACTCTTTAACTCCAAGAGATGCCGTTGCACAGAACGGTCCACACGGATACAGTTCAGTAACGGCTTACTTTCTCATAACCAATGAATGCTGTTGCACAGAACGATCCACACTGATACCATTCGGTACTAGCTTACTCTTTAACTCTAAGAGATGCCGTTGTACATAACGGCCCACACGGATACCATTCGATACCGGCTCACTCTTTAACTATAAGAGATGCCGTTGCACAGAACGGTCTACACTGATACCATTCGGTAACGGCTCACTCTTTAACTCTAAGAGATGCCGTTGCACAGAACGGTCCACACTGATACCATTCGATATCGGCTCACTCTTTAACTCTAAGAGATGCCGTTGCACAGAACGGTCCACAAGGATACAGTTCAGTAACGGCTTACTTTCTCATAACCAATGAATGCTGTTGCACAGAACGATCCACACTGATACCATTCGGTACTAGCTTACTCTTTAACTCTAAGAGATGCCGTTGTACATAACGGTCCACACGGATACCATTCGATACCGGCTCACTCTTTAACTATAAGAGATGCCGTTGCACAGAACGGTCTACACTGATACCATTCGGTACCGGCTCACTCTTTAACTCTAAGAGATACCGTTGCACAGAACGGTCCACACTGATACCATTCGATAACGGCTCACTCTTTAACTCTAAGAGATGCGTTGCACAGAACGGTCCACAAGGATACAGTTCAGTAACGGCTTACTTTCTCATAACCAATGAATGCCGTTGGACAGAACGATCCACACTGATACCATTCGGTACTAGCTTACTCACCAATCCGTGTCACGGATACCATTCGATACCGGCTCACTTTTTAACTCTAAGAGATGCCGTTGCACAGAACGGTCCACACTGATACGATTCGATATCGGTTCACTCTTTAACTCTAAGAGATGCCGTCGCACAGAACGGTCCACACGTATACCATTCGATACCAGCTCACTCTTTAACTCTAAGAGATGCCGTTGCACAGAACGGTCCACACTGATACCATTCGATACCAGCTCACTCTTAAATCTAAGAGATGCCGTTGCACAGAACGGTCCACACTGATACAGCTCAGTAACAGCTCACTTTCTCATAACCAATGAATGCCGTTGCACAGAATGGTCCACACTGATACCATTCGGTACCAGTTTACTCTTTAACTCTAAGGATGCCGTTGCACAGAACGGTCCACACTGATACCATTTGGTACCAGCTTACTCTTTAACTCTAAGTATGCCGTTGCACAGAACGGTCCACACTGATACCATTCGGTACCAGATTACTCTTTAACTCTAAGTATTCCGTTGCACAGAACGGTCCACACTGATACCATTCGGTACCAGCTCACTCTTTAACTCTAAGTATGCCATTCCACAGAACGGTCCACAGTGATACCATTCGGTACCAGCTTACTCTTTAACTCTAAGTATGCCGTTGCACAGAACGGTCCAAACTGATACCATTCCATACCAGCTCACTCTTTAACTCTAAGAGATGCCGTTGCACAGAACGGTCCACACTGATACCATTCGATACCAGCTCACTCTTTAACTCTAAGAGATGCCGTTGCACAGAACGGTCCACACGATACAGTTCAGTAACGGCTCACTTTCTCATAACCAATGAATGCCGTTGCACAGAATGGTCCACACTGATACCATTCGGTACCAGTTTACTCTTTAACTCTAAGAATGCCGTTGCACAGAACGGTCCACACTGATACCATTCGGTACCAGCTCACTCTTTAACTCTAAGGATGCCGTTGCACAGAACGGTCCACACTGATACCATTCGGTGCCAGCTTACTCTTTAACTCTAAGTATGCCATTCCACAGAACGGTCCACAGTGATACCATTCGGTACCAGCTTACTCTTTAACTCTAAGTATGCCGTTGCACAGAACGGACCACACTGATACCATTCGATACCAGCTCACTCTTTAACTCTAAGAGATGCCGTTGCACAGAACGGTCCACACGGTTACAGTTCAGTAACGGCTCACTTTCTCATAAGCAATGAATGCCGTTGCACAGAATGGTCCACACTGATACCATTCGGTACCAGTTTACTCTTTAACTCTAAGGATGCCGTTGCACAGAACGGTCCACACTGATACCATTCGGTACCAGCTTACTCTTTAACTCTAAGTATGCCGTTGTACAGAACGGTCCACACGGATACCATTCGGTACCGGCTCACTCTTTAACTCTAAGAGATGCCGTTGCACAGAACGGTCCACACTGATACCATTCGGTGCCAGCTTACTCATCAACTCTAAGTATGCCATTCCACAGAACGGTCCACAGTGATACCATTCGGTACCAGCTCACTCTTTAACTCTAAGTATGCCGTTACACAGAACGGTCCACACTGATACCATTCGATACCAGCTCACTCTTTAACTCTAAGTATGCCGTTGCACAGAATGGTCCACACTGATACCATTCGAGACCGGCTCACTCTTTAACTCTAAGAGATGCCGTTGCACAGAACGGTCCACACGGATACAGTTCAGTAACGGCTCACTTTCTCATAACCAATGAATGCCGTTGCACAGAACGGTCCACACTGATACCATTCGGTACCAGCTTACTCTTTAACTCTAAGTATGTCGTTGCACAGAACGGTCCACAGATAGCAATGATACCATTCGGTACCAGCTTACTCTTTAACTCTAAGATATGTCGTTGCACAGAACGGTCCACACAGATACTATTTGATACCAGCTCACTCTTTAACTCTAAGAGATGCTGTTGCACAGAACGGTCCACACTGATACCATTCGATACCAGCTCACTCTTTAACTCTAAGAGATGCCGTTGCACAGAACGGTCCACGCGGATACAGTTCAGTAACGGCTCACTTTCTCATAACCAATGAATACGTTGCACAGAACGGTCCACACGTACCATCGTACCAGCTATTCTTTAACTCTAAGATCCTTGCACAGAACGGTCCACACTGATACCATTCGGTACCAGCTTACTCTTTAACTCTAAGTATGCCGTTGCACAGAACGGTCCACACTGATACCATTCGGTACCAGCTTACTCTTTAACTCTAAGAATGCCGTTGCACAGAACGGTCCACACCGACACAATTCAGTAACGGCTCGCTTTCTTATAACTAATGAATGCCGTTGCACATAACGGTCAACACCAATGTTCTCGCACATCAACTCACTGTCCTACAGTATAATATTTTTTCATATTTTTATGCATTATATACTAGGTTTTATTCTTAAAGGTTATCTACAACAGAAATGAGTTATCATAATAATAATTGTTATGATATTTCTCGAATAATATCAAAAAAAAAAATTATATAAATTACTATTCTGTTTTCCACACATATGTTTGTATTGTATTACCATTTTAATATATCTCTTCCTTTATAATATATTATTATAGAACAATAACAATTCAACTACAAACTACATATGTTAAGACGCTGTACATAGTCAAAGTAGGTTTCAGAAAACATTTTTTTACGAAAATGTATTCATTTCAGAGCTGCAAAAAAATTATATGTTAATCTTGATCATATTTATGGAGGCACCATTGTCTTCAAAACACGTTTTCTGTAAATTTTCTCCATAGAAAAAAAAATCATAAAATATCCATTAAAATTGAAATTCCAGCAATTGTAAATGTAACTGTATTATTAATAAACAAATCTTGACGAAATTAATAACAGTGATGTAATATATAATAATAAAGGGAACTGTTGTTTTTGTTTATCGATTATAATAAGATATTTGTAAGTATTAACATATTTAATGATAAACAACTCGAACGAGTCCAACGTAACATCTCTGCGTTTTTTCGCTTCTATTTCATATCTCCGCGGAGCGACACTGACCACAGAGTACTTTTTGTATACCACTGACCCACAGAGTACTTTTTGTATACACTAACCATGCGTAGTATCCTCTTAGTAGTCTGTGCACTGACCGCTAAGGCACGCTGCTAGATGGACGTATGCCTGCTTCACTCGCTGCTCAAAATTCATTTACGTATCTCTTTTGTTGTTGAAAGTTGTGTATATTTTATTTTGTGATTAGTTTTTTCAAAGTTGTATTGTTGGTGTAAAGGGTTGTTCGTTTTCGGTTCTAGTGATAATTTTTGTAAGTTCGTCTAAACTTTTTTCGATTTCGGTCATAAGTTTTATAAAATAAACAATCAGTATAGATTACAGACATTAGAAAAATGGGCAACAAAAAAATGAACGCAGGGCAATAAAGAGATCTTATTCGATGAAACAAAAACACATGATGGAAGTTGTAAAGTAAGTACATATTTACATTCTTGTGCACACATTATTTTGGTTACATAGATTATATATATGTCCATGCTTAATTTCGACTATCATGTCACTATATGCCGTTGCACAGAACGGTCCACACGGTTACAGTTCAGTCAGGCTTGATCTCCAAATTCAAGTTTAGATGGAATATGTGTGAAAACGACTTTATTGTCACAAGCAAAGATTTATCAAGTACACATACTGTTGTTAACGTGGGTGCCGTTACGGGAATTACTTCTGCTGGTATCGGTTTTTCGCAATTTGAATAAATTTACAGCATGTATGGACATACCCATATTCACGAAAACAACTTATGCTCAAGTTAAAAACAAAGTTTATGAAAAATGGGAGTCAACATCTGTCGAGTCCATGGCAGCAGCAGCTATGCGTGAGCGTGATGCAGCAATAGCTGAAGAAACATTGAGCAAAGATGATATTCCTCTAATAGACATATATGCTGACGCCTGTTGGTCCGATTTTTTTTGAAACATCTGTATCGATGTACATACAATGTTATTTATGGCAGGTTATTGCTGACGGCGACTTGGCTACATATTCGAAAATCTGGGCGCGTAATTTTTACCAGAATCATACCGTACAAAAAGTTAAATGCCGAAACAATATGTTTCGCAATATGTGCAATAAGTTGAGGGATGTAGCCAAAGATACAAAATATACCTTGGTGCACCGAAAAATGCTAACTGAATCAAAAATTCTGAGTATCCGAAAAGTTGTTATTGCATCAATAAAAGAGTATAAGGCAGAAAAAAACAAAACGAAAGCAGTAGCAAGTTTTAGGATCGAAATACAAAATTCGATTCCACATGCTTTCTGTAATCATGAAAATTGTAACAATTATAAATGTACCAAGGAAAAAATACAACAGCGTAATATGGAAATAAAAAAAACACAATATTTTGGTTCAGGATACAGACAATACTCCAGTCATTACTTTCAAAATCAAGAAGCTTGCTTGAAGACGTGGATAACAATGCAGTAGAGAGCTTCAACGATGTGATTGCAAAGGTTGTGGGGGAAAGATAATTAACTCCTCTCCTGGTCGGGGATACTGCGCGCGTTGCAATGGTGCAGTGGTTTCTTTTAATAACACCCACCCGAGGTATCTACTTCATAAGAATTTTTTTAGGGAAAAGTCCCGAAAGCATCCTAAAAAGTTTGAAGAACTAAGACTGATGAAAAGAAAATTAAACATAGCAAAACTTCATTAAAAGAATCGAATTCTAAAGAAAGATAATACTATTCAACACGATTATGGGGCTTAGAGTATCTACTACTCAAGATTTGACACACGATGAATTAAATGCCGCTAAAGAATCATTTCTTCAAAATCTAAAGCAACTAAGTTCGGACAAAGAAAAAATACAAGTATATACCATATATCAGAGAGATAGCGATGACTGGGTAGAACTAAAAAAAATATGCTAACAGCATCGAATTTCGGAATAGTAGTAAAAAGAAATGAAAGTACGAGCAAAGTTAAGTTAGTGGAAAATATTTTATATAAATGTTATCTCATTAATATAGCGGCAATCGCACATGAAGTCGAAAATGAACGTCTCGCTTTACAGCAACTTGCTATTCTGGAAAATGTCACCATTGAGCCGTGTGATTTGTTCGTGGACTACGAGTTTCCTTTTATTGGAGCTACGCCCGATGGTTTAATAGGCCATGACACAGTATTGGAAGTGAAATTTCCTTCACTGGCATTCAAAAGGGATCTAGAAGAATGTATAAAGGAAAACAAAATACAGATATGGAAATACAATAAAAAAGGTGAACTGATTGAAATGAACAAAAATAGTAATTGGTACCATCAGATTCAAGGGCAGCTCCACGTAACACGCAGAGAAAAGTGCTTGTTTGCTGTGTGGAATGGTGAAAACAAGCCACTAAAAAAAGATGAAGGAAAATCTGGTGTCGTTTTTAATGGATTGACTTTTGCCTGAAATAGTCAATTCTCGGCGAGCACGTGGAATGGCACTGCGAGAAAAAGAATCGTTATTAGTAGTTAAATTAAGTGACGACCACAAAGCGAATGTCCCTTGTTGTAGTAGAAAACTAAATTTCGAAAAATTGTGACTCGAGTCATTTCCTTTCCAAAGGTAGTTATAGTAAAAAGTAATATACACTCTGTAAACACTAGGAACAAACACAAGCTAGTGATACCAGTTTCTCAATTCCTCAGAGCCAGTAATTCCTTTTTCAGGGCAATGTATACGCTATTACAACAAAGTCCCGGAAAACATATCTCTCTATTACCATTTTTAAATATTTAATTAAACGAAAACTGTTTAAAAAGGGTTATTATAATATAAATTAATACATGGTTGATAATAACCCCAGGGAATGAGGTGGTCGCATTCAAGCTGTTTCTAAAATAAATTTTGTAAAGAATTTGTAACCATTCAGATTGTAAAATATATATATTTTTAAAGTTCTACTGGGTTTCACTCTTTTCTTCAAGTAAAAAATTACTTTCAATAAGAATTACTACTATATAGGAGGACCTTCTAACGCCATTAATCTTTATAGTTTTATAAAACTTTATTTGCACAAGTACTTGGTTGATCAATACAAAGTACCTACTTTATTGATCGTTCCCGTCTGATCCAATTGTTCAATTTGCTCACCTACATTAGGTTAGGTACTGGAGCTAGAAGGTCGCTTGTGACAATCTCTGGATATGAGGCCCAACCGATGGCAAAACCCACATTTTCCAGAGGCTTTGAACATTTTACGCTAATATGGTCAGCATCGCCACAGTTAAAACAGCATATGCCTTCTGGTGACGCTAATAGTTCCTGGGTTCGATTCCTGGAACGGGCCAAAATCTATTATGCAAGATCAACTATATGTGGACTGTATGCGTGGTTCCCTATAACTATAACCAAAACAAGATGGTTGATGTGGCACGTGGCAGGGTTGGGCAATGCACTCGCTATTACCTAATCTATTATATCTAGCCGGTGCCTTACATGGGAATTGAACTTGAGCTGTTAGGAAAAATTGGACACATTAAAGAGACAACAAAAGAACGGCTCAAGATAAATTAAAAGGAAGCACTTACCGGTATGGGTTTATTTTTGCTTTAGCGACCTCGAGGACGATGACCCTGGTGTTGTGACTGCGTTGTAAGAGAGCGAGCGGCGGCAGCGGACGTCCTTTTATTTGTCGGCCGTCTCCACTTCCATTTAGGCGGGGGCGCGCTTCCTTATTTGCCACATAATTTAGCTTTCTCCCCTCTACAGTGCGTGCGGAAAAGAATGTGGATAGAATGTAGGAAAGCACCGGCTAGCTGCTAAATAACTACGGTCTTAACACGAGCTATCCTAGTTACTCCGTCGGATCCAGGAAAAACCTATTCGACGATCCCCAATGGCCAATGAAGAGGCGGCGTATTCTTTTTGGTGAGAACAACTACCGTTCCGACCGTTAATGGTCGGACCTAGTTCAGTATGTATCAAATGCCGCAATAGACACCACACGTTGTTGCATTTTGAGAGTGGCACCATATCCGCGCTAAGCAAATCTAAGAGTGAGACTTTATCTACCAAGATCGACACTTCCAATGGGCGATCGGGCGAGATTGCTCTGTGCTCACTGTCGAACGTGAGAAGAGCCGATCGCGTTCCCGGCCACTGTGTTGTAAGGTACAGCACGTATTATAGTTAGAGATTCGAATGGAAACGAACGGAGCGTTCGTACGCTATTAGACAGTGCGTCGCAAAGTAACTTTATAACTCAGCAATGTTGCCAACGTTTTAGATTATTAGTAATCAAGACACCTTCATGTCTCGTAGTAAAGACGAAGATGGCCCGTGTATCCCTTATTGCGATCGCGAACATTTCGCTTTCGCAGCTGCTGCAACCTCCTAGAGGCGATGGGGACGATGATCCTGCCGCACGGCTTCCACCTCTAGTGCATGTGCCCAAGGCGTCCTTAAGCGTATCATGGTGCCCGAGCCTCACAGCAGCTCTGACTTCAAGGTAGCGGATGCCGTCGATGAATGTCTGCACCACGTTCCCTTCAATGAGCGCAGGTACAGACCGGTATGCTTTTCGAACCAGCGTCCCCACCTCAAGGGCCCACTGCTGCAGGTTTTCGTTGATGCGTTGCACGCGATTTTTAGGCTGCGCACGAAAGACGTGTTCCAGGTGAGCGTCGCCATATCTCACCTTCAATGCCTCAAGGTGCTGCTCGTAAGTCACTTCCTTACCGAGAGCTCTCAGAACAGTTAAAGCCTGGTCGCGCAGGCCTAGAGTGAGAGCAGTCATGGCCTGACTTTTATTCCAGCCGTTAGCCTTCATGACAGCCTCGAACTGGATTTTGTAGGCCGACCAGGAAGAAGTCGATTTCGGTGGAAGATATTGATTTTGCGGGTTTGCATTGTTCATAAGTTCTTATTAATCGATTATTGGTTTATTGACATCGATGTTTCGATGTTTGACATGTGGCAACAGCGATGTTAAAATATCGATGTTTTAAATTGTAACATCCCTAGTCTGTGGTTATAATATATATTATATAGTTTTTGATGATGGCAAAATAAAAAAACATGTTTATCGTTAGTTTATAAAACAATAAATATCGTCTCATCGATGCAAGTGTTTACAGGAATATGGATATTGTCATTCAGGTTAGCCAAATATTAATTTACAGATTACGTACATATGTATTTCTCTTTTTATTTTTTGTGGTAAAATCGCCAATAAAACTGACGAGTTTCGGTTAATTAGCACCTAGAGTATGTATATGTAATACTCGAGTTTATTAATTTTCACGGCAATCCTCGAGTCCGGCAACTTGTTCTACCACCGGGAGGGCGACCATCTGTCCCAAGGAGGTGTCGGATTTATCGTCCACAAGTCTCTCGTCAACAACGTTGTAAAGATTGGGAGTGTGTCGACGAGGATCGCGTACCTGATACTCAGAATCACCAAACGGTATTCGCTGAAGGTCATACAGGTTTACGCACCAACCTCGGCACATCCCGATGAGGAGGTGGAGGAAATGTATGAGGATATTTCCAGAGCCATGCATTCCTCCAAAACCCACTACACGGTGTTGATGGGAGACTTCAACGCAAAACTAGGCACAAGAGAAAGCGGTGAGCTGAAGGTGGGGAAATTTGGAGTAGGGCAACGGAACCAAAGGGCCAGCAGCTGGCCGACTTTATGGAGAAAGAGGGACTCTTTATGATGAACTCTTTCTTCCAGAAGCGGCCCCACAAGAAGTGGACCTGGTCGAGCCCCGACGGTTCGACAAAAAATGAGATTGACTTCATAATGAAGTCAACGCTCCGTCCCCCTCGTGCTCTAATCCAGAATCCCGAAACCTTTCAGCTCGAGTTACAAAACCGCTTTCAGTGCCTAGAGGATTGCAATGCAGTGGACGATATGAATGACAAGCTCGTGGAAACTGTCCATGCGGTCGGAGCTAAGTTTTGCAAGACCCGCCGCAGAAGAACACAAAAACTCTCCAATCACACTCTTAATCTCATGGCTGTTAGACGGGAGATGAGGCTGTAATTGTCAACAGATTTGACAGCATACAGGCAACTGAACAGACAGATCTCCAAATGCATGCGGCGAGGCTTACGCAACTTTAATACTGCTCATATTAAAGAAGCGATCGAGTGGAACCAGGGCTCCGAAGTCTTTGCCAGAGATCTGTCTGCCAGAAAGAGCCAACTGTCAAGGCTGAAGACTGAGTGTGGCAACATCGTTTCCGGGACACCTGAGATTCTGAGTGAGATTGAGAGGTTCTACAGGCAGCTGTACACATCATCGTTGGAGCCACACGCAAGTGTGAGTAACGATCCAAGAGCAAGTCTTATCCGACACTATTCCGATGATATCCCGGACGTCAGTCTGAGCGCGATTAGAATGGCTCTCCACCACTTTAAAAACGGCAAGGCCCCGGGCGAGGATGGAATTACAGCGGAGCTTCTGAAAGCGGGTGGAACACCGGTACTTGAAGTCCTTCAGAAGCTCTTCGATTCCGTCCTCCATGGTGGCACTAC